ACCCTGGCGAGCCGCGTGCCAAACGTTGCCGACCCCTGCTCTAATATAAGAATTCTCTATGTGTGTGTGTGAATGTGTAATGTCACGAGGCTAATCACATTTGATTTCAGGTCCTTGCAGTAGTTCAGTTTCAATTTTTGGAGAGAAACTGATGTGGAGTGAGTATTGTGTAATTTGTTTTCGCACTTTGTGAAGATTATCTACAAATGTGTACGTACATCCTGTTATTCTTAAAGCAAGATAGATCCATTGGCACACATGGGCCAGAACCTCAGCTTAGTCACCTGAGCAGTCACCAGGAACCAGCTGCCCTCATTGTTTTCTCTCAGGTTTTTCACCCATCATCCATCTGCCACGCAATCTTCCCATCCTTATTGACGTATCACCCTCTAGTGAGGAATCAGAAGAGCAGCAGCAGATTTAACCCGCCCTGTACTGACAAGTTACAGTTGAGTCGATTTACCCCATATATACAAAACATACCCCATTTCACCTATTCTTTAAATATATTCTTCTATTGCAAAGCCTTAATTTGTTAATATTAACTCACAAACTAACTTTATAATTAATAGCCAAAGAGTTCCTATTACTCTTAATTTAATTAAATACAAACAATAATTCTATCACTGCTTACCATGGAGCTATTGAAGGCTTTATTCTCATCTATCAGTATTCCTCAACTGCCAACTCCAACATGGCAGTGCCTGAATAAAATAGATTAGAATTAGGAGGCGGTGAGACCAGATTACTTCCAGCACAATCACCAGCATGAGGCAGTGTTTTCGACCCTGATGGCTGGAAGTGGTAACCTCCTTCCCGTGTTGCACTCTTTTATGGTAGAAAAACATGTTAATAGCCTTAAATATAAGCCAGGGCAGATTTCAAGAATTATTTCTCTCTTGATTTCCCCCCAAACTGTTGAGGGGTTCAACCTGCATCACCTTGCTCTTTGTCAGCAGTAGGCATATTTTGAGTGCTCAGTCGCTACTGGAGGCATTTGTTTCTCAGTTGTATACAGTATGCCATCCGTTGTTGCCCTTGTTCTTTAGATTTTCCCCACTGTTGAGTCCATCTGAAGCTCTCTGGTGATTTCAATCCCTACTTTCCTTTAAAGCCTGCTGACTGCCTTCTAGAGGTCACATTCCTGGTTTTTATAATGCAAGCCATTTTGAATGGGAAGCTCCAGCAATATTTCACCCCTAAATTCCTAAGCGCTTCAGTGGCCTGGCTGTAAATTGGTGGGCTTCACCAGCTGGAGAAGATGGAAGCATGCTCCAAACAACTGCACCTTTCCAGTTCCTTTGCTTTAGGCTTTTCTGCATCAACATAGAGATAAGATTCAAAATTGTCTCACTGTCCCTATGGGTCTTGTCTTAGACTTGTCTTCGGGGCTCCACAGTCCTCCTTAGCTGAGGCTTCACCAGTTGGCTCCTGCTCTCTGCTGGTATCTCTTCCTCAGGCCTTCCATCTGACAGGTGCAGAGACTCTTCTCCTCCCTCTTGGGATTCCCCAGACCCTGGTTTCTCATTTCTGCTCTCCTGTTTGAGTCAGGAAGCCTTATATGCAAATTCCTATTGGGCACATGAGTAGGAGCAGGCAGGATCAGACCTCCAACAACAGCTCCCAGTCTTAAAGGGCCCAAGGGTTGTAAGAGGCTTGCTGGGATGAGCACATGTGCCCCAAGAACCACTCTTACACACTCCTTTCACTCAGACTGAAGGCAGAGAGGTCTTAATCTATGGTGGAATGAATCTAATGAGCAGCAGACTCATTCCATTCCATTGTCACCTCTGGAATGTAGTAAGTCAGCAGGAGGAAGAAGATTCCCTGGCAGTTAGGGAGACAGTTGGTTTGAGTGAGGAGAACAGGCCTAGTCCCCTCTCCTGGCTAAGAGGGTGAGGGTGGCAGAAACTCTTTGAAAGTGTCTGTTGTGGGAAGGGAACTGGCCCTCTTGAGATCCAGCAGCAGAGCAGAGGTAGCCTGAGATCTGGGAGACTGATGAGAAGCAAAGTGTCCCATAAGGGAGAGGCTGTTAGCAGTGGTAGTGGCAAAAGCATATTGCAGGCTGACACAAGGCCAGTGGGGAAGGAACAAAGACTTGACCCTGCATCCGGGTTTCTGAATAAAAGGGGGCTTGGAGGGGTCTGCCAGGGGCACTGAAGCAGCATCCTTCCAAGCGACTAGTAAAAGGGCAGGAGACTGTGGGGTGGGGCTCGCAGCCTAAACATTGTTACAGGGAAAGCAGTCTGCACAGCAACTGGACAACTGCATGGAGGAGCCCCCAAAGAGCTATCACTATGGAATTGAACCCTACCTAGCATGTTGGGAACTACTGACTGATACCCCATTGCACCTATTTGGGGCATTCCAGGTACTGGGCCTGAGTTGGCCTAATCCTCTTTCAGAATCCCTCCTATGGACTAAGGAAGAATTGGGATGTTTATCTTTTGTTGTCGTTTAAGCTGTTGTATGTGGGATATTTGTGACCTTCTTTTCTGCCTGCCCTACTAAACAATTGATTTTGTCTGAGCTGTGTGTCTGAGTGCTTATTGGGACTCACCAGATGCTAGAGTCTATAGAGTGTACTGACTGAAGTGCTTGTAGTACTTGCTTCTGAATCGTGATATGGCTAACATGCTACTGAATATCAGAGAGGGTTTGATATACCGCAGCACTGAACAACCCCGTTTGGTGGGGATGATTACAGTGGCAATGGATTATTCTTGAACGGAGTGGTAGGATTTGGTCAGTATGTCCTGAATTTTCCTTAGGTTTCTGTTCTTTATCTAGTGCATGTGCACATTTAAGTCTCTTGGTCTTGAATAGGGTTACCATTCGTCCGGATTTACCCAGACATGTCCTCCTTTTTGTGCTAAAAATAGCGTCCGGGGGGAATTTGTAAATAACTCAAAATGTCCGGGATTTCCCCCCTCCCCCGGCAGAGCAGAGCGAGCGGCTGGGAGGGCTGCAGGAAAGTCCCAGGCTGGACTCCAGAGCAGCTGTAGAGGAGCTCCTCCTCCCTCCCTGCATTCTGAGCCGGCAGCTCCTCCCCTGCAACCCGGCTCCGGCAGCACTGTGCAGGGCCAGGGACCGGGTTTTGTTGTGCTGGGGAGCGCAGCCACGTGTCT